AAATTGCGTAAGAGTTTCAGGCTGGAGCAGTTACTGTAGGTCTCCTTGAGCTCGACGACGACGACAGATGACTTCATATTCTGAAGACGGTCAGGGCAATGATGAAGGGCTTTCATCTACTAATAGAGGGACATTTGCATTCGAGGATATTTCGTTGAAGAACATCCGTCAACGAGGACCTTTTCCGCGACGAAAAAAAAACGCCGAAGTGCGACCCGGGCAAGATGATTTCCCCCTCCACCTTATGACATTGCAGATAATCCCAAATGAGAAAATACTCCAAATCACACCTGCGGCAGTACCCAAGTTGTCACAATTCAAACATTGCATTGCAGTTTCGAAAATTCATTTGCGAAAATGGAGAGAAAAACGTTGGAAATTTTTCCCAGTGAAGCTTTCCTCTTAACAGATGCTTTTCAGCTATGCACGGGTCTGTGGCGACAAAGCTATGTATGCCGCCTCTGTGGATCACACATTCGAAGAGGAGAGAGCAATTATAGGAGTCAGAAAAACAAACGCGACCCATCCATCGGCTTAGTGACGCCCACATTCTAACTCAGTGAACTCCTAACCTTAGCTTTTACCACGCAATTCAAATGTGATGGCGGCGCAGCTCTTACGTTTTTGAATCATTGGTTCCCATTGCTCCTCTATACTGGTCATGCTCATTCTCGCTTATAAAGATAATCGAATCCAAGGGTGCACACTTGGATGTCATCGGACAACTGTTGCTCCATTTTTGCAGGGTGTTAGCGCGACTGTGACTCCGATAGACAATGGATTACGCGCATACACTATCACTGTGACTTTAATCTACTGCTTAAAATTCTCGGCCATCACTTTACTCCAGCTGCCTGACTTAACTACTTGCCTTCAAATGGTCAAATTACCGCAAAAGACATGTTGAACGATCATTTTTTCAAGGTTATCAGAATCTAGGTGCGAATGACCATTTGGGACGACCACCTCACATACTTCAACAATAAAGGGTAAGCCCCGCTGTCAACCCTTAAGTAGCAAGCCGCGGTAAATTGCTAGGCCTGCATCAACACATGTTGTACACTTTCGCTCGGAATGCACTGTTAGGGAGCTATGACATAGCGAAGCCAAAGTATTGCAAAGATCGACTGACCATGCAACCCTTCCCACCTACCGTTGTAAAGATAGCGGATACTACTACTGCTCAATCCAACGGGAGGAGCACAGCAGAGACAAAAAGTTCAAAGAGCTGGTGTCGAGGGCCGAAAATGGCGATTACGCGGGCACCGTTTTCATCGACGACAAAATTCCTCACATGGAGCGGAGCTACAATCTTCAAACTCCGAGGATGCCCGCATGAGGTCTGTGGAAGCCAGTGAGAGTGAAAGGAATATTCGCCACAAGCAGCAGCCGAATCTTTATCACGATTTGGGCAAGGGTCTCACTTTGCACCATCACTGCTGTTTACAAAGGAATACCTTGATACTAGACCGAGCCAAGGGACATTTCGGTGCACCATCTGTTACTGAGGTATCTAGCCACTTTGAGGAGGGATGATCTTTTTTCAATAGGACCCAGCTTCTGCATAGGAGGCAAAAATTGTTCAGGAGCGCTGTTAAGGCACTCTTTCCGATTTCACATCCTCGAACGAATGGCTCTCCTATCCCTTGATTTCAGCGTGCTGGACCATCCTATGTGGGCTATGTTAGGGGGCAGAGCCTGCACTAATCATTGCATTGCCTTCTCTCTGCAGTCTCGAAGAGAATACCCCAGGATGCCATGCGGGCCACAGTAGAGTTCAAAGCAATTGGGAGCCATACTCACAACAACAGGGGAGCATATCCAATGAATGTCATTCCTTTCAATATGTAAATGTATTGCTAAAATTTTTGTAAAACCTCTTGAAGATACATCCATTTTGAAAGAAGTTACAAGTAAAGAAAAGTGGTGCAATATTTATGGGACACCCTGTACAATCACATTTGGTGGTGTATATGTAGCATATGGAAAACCGTTTTTCTCAAGGCGAGCAAGTGCATGAAAATGTTTGTAGAAACTAAAATCTTACAGTCAGTGTGATGTAGCTGGGATTGATCTTGTAGCCGAACACCATACACACGATACCGTATATTTGCGGCACCCAGAATGGTATTTGGCAGGATAAGTAAAACAGTGTAGCGGCCAGTGTATAAATTGTTATCCGGCGTATCGGAATGCGTGATTGTAACATCGTTCTGAAATTAAAAGTATCATAGCAAAGCTATCGGTGATGAGGCCAAGGTGACTTGATAAGATTCTCGTCAGACTTATTTTTCAAGCATGCTTGAGGCATGGAATTCGGAACACAGTACTTTTGACTTAGTCAGATCATTTTATGATATTTTTGAGCGAACCACATCGGTCTACCAGAGGCTGGCCACTTACTCCTCACCAGGGAGTGAAAATGAAAATCGTGTCGAGGAAATAACCGCCTCTTTACGACCCCCCTCCAAAACATGAACTCTGATACGACCCCTTTTTGTCCTCTGCACATCCGGTTTCATATCAAAAAATGCTAGTTTCAGATGTGCGAGAGGGACGCAGCGCCGCTGCCACGCAAATGCGGCTTGATCCAAATGCTAGATTCAATTCTGCTCAGATTAGGTTCTCCTTCTTTCCTTTAAAGACATTTAACCTTTGCCACATTGGCCGGAAAGTAGAACATTGAAGGAGGTACTGCCCCTACACAGTTGAACAGTCTCGCGCTCCAGTATAGCGGCGCTAACTACCGCGATCGCGTCGCGCGCTGTGCCTAGAGCGCGCTAGTTGGAAAAATCGTCAAATGTACCCCCTATTTAAAGGACTATAACTTTCTTCATTGATAACCATTTCAGAAAGTGAAGGCAGCTTTTGAATGCACAAGACTTCTAGTTTCTAAATTGTGCTGAGCGTTTTTCTAAGCACGCCTATTCTCGAGAGTGGGAGACGTCGAGAAATTGTCGAGGAAATTGAAATTTACATGCGAGTTCCCACTCTTTGGAAGACAGTAGCTGTCTTCATTGGCAATGCTTTGAAAATCGAGGAAAGCGTTGTAAAGTAGAAGATTTACGCTTTCTGATAGGTGCTCCAGTTGTTTCGAACGCTTTCTAGTTCGCGAGAAATCTGCGTCGAGGAAATGTCAAGGAAATTTTCGAAGCCACTCGAAAACTCTATTACTCCCTTGCCGTAGTAGGGAACTTCTTTGAACACCTTCAAAATGCTTCTGTACACGTCAGTTCGATGGAGTAAATTGAAAATGATGCACTTGGCAGGATCCATTCCGTTCTTGTATGCGCCATGCAGTGACCCCACTCGGAGTCATTGGGAAGGTGTTTTGTCCTAGTGACGACTTGCTTAAGCACACCAAAAGATATTTCCAGTATTAACTAATTAGGATAACTCTTGTGGTCATAGTGATGTCTGATCATTCCTTTATTCAAATCGCTTCCTTTCCAACCCGTTCTGATGAATGACAGCTTGCGGTTGCAGGATCTGATGATGCCAAGAAGGCTGCGAATCTGCCTGTTTTGAACTTTCTACCAAGATGCTGTTCCTCCACTAAGTTCTCGAAGCATGTGCATCATTCTAGAGTAGATACTCGCTGCCCTTTCCCTACGATTCTTTTGCAGGACGCGTTGCCTTCCTATGCCATACTGATCACTACGAACCAAACCAACAACCACTTGTAAGATGTTATTTGCATTAGGCTAAGTACAACACTTGTGAAACTAATGATGACAGCAAATAAGTGGCAGCAGCACCGTTGTGTCCGTTGATAAACCGTATCATTGTTTCATCGGATGATTATTAAAAATCAATGGAGGAAAGGTGGGATGTTGTGGAAGTTCTAGCTCTCAATAGCATTTTCTTCACCTACCCGGTATTTCCTCTAAGCAGAATATGTTAATACCAGTGAAGATTTTCGAAGTATCCACGTATGTGAAAGAAGTAGGATGCACAAAAAGTGTCCTGTTCCGCCTCGGACACAGAGGAATCACTGTAGCTCTCGAGGGTAACCAATAAATTAGGTGAGACTGTTGATTAAACCGCAACCCAATAAGGTCGGTAGAAAGTCAAGAAAGGGAAAGCCTACATAGTGGAGAGATAGACAGACCCTTCAAGGGTCTAGATCAACACGCGATTAGCAGCGATGGATATGCCCCTGGTGATCCAGATCTGCGGCGCTATCGGCGCAGCACGCCTACCGGTCAGCGAACCACTCACCGCAGATCTCTACTGTTTAGTAGAAGGAGCGTTGTTGTTGAAGAAAGCATCGATGAGAGTCGCATCAGTGCGCAAATCAACGGACAAGGAAGGTTCCCACTTCTCGAATCTTAGTCCGTTTTTCATAGTTTGTGTTCATCCCGGCAATACTGGCCACTTCTACGTTGCTTCTAATGAGCTCCCTTCTGATCATAACCTCCGCCTTCGATCCCTTTACCATCAAACGGTCTGACCAACCAAGCCTTCCATCCCTCCGGGGTCGGTTAATTGGTACCAGACTTGTCTGGGAGGATAAAAACACTGACTTGTACATCGGCTGGCCCCCGCAAGTCATTGTATAGGCCACATCGCATTCAAACGCCACTACGAATGTACAAATGGAAGTAGAATGCGTGCCGCATCCCAAAAAGGGATTGATCAACGGCAAATGCTTTATCCTTTTTATCCTTTAACCATGGTTCAAGTCCTTTGGCTTAGTTCTATATTTCATGGCAGACAGTGTAAGATCTGCTAAATGGCCTCAAGCTGCATCTTGTGAAAGCCTTTCGTTCTAGTCACGAATATTGCTTCTCTATATTTGGAAAACTATCAGATGATAGACACAATGGTGAATCTAGCGTATCTTCATGCCGTAGTCATGGTTGCTTGAATTAGACCTTCAGCTACTTGTTGCAGAGCAAAAAACCTTTGGCGACTCATATCGCTGCACTTCTCATGGCATTTTTTGCCAGTTCTGTTCTTTTTCTGACTCTCTGTTAATAGGCATCTCAAATGGAAATAACAACTTCACATTCACACATTACTTGTAAAGACTGTATACTTATTATAAGTGGAGCTTTGCGTGCCAGCAGTGAAAAACATTTCTATGTATGATGGGAAAGTGCAGCAGAAGTTACTGCATTTCCTCTCCAGGACTCTAGATCTCCTTTGTATTGCTCCTGAAGATAGCACTGCAGTAGAACGAACCAACCGTGAACAAGGAACAGATTATGATTTCTATACAAGTATGTATGTTTTCTCATCGTGGAGCGGGTGAAAGTAATGACGTCTTTATCCTGCAGCAGCAAGATCTAATCTAGTCATAATGACACGAACAAAGCATTTGTTTTGCAGATGAAGCGGAAGTCTTTGCAGAAGAGCTTTGTGGTTAAGCAGTAGAGGTGGTTGAGGGACGCGTGTCAAGCACACTATCTGACTGCTCAGATGTACCACGACCCCGGCTCTTATAATTGACAGTAACTGACTCAGGGAGGTGCAGCTCGTTCTGCAGAAAACGGAGCGAAAAAGCGACTGTTATATAAGTTTTGTTACAGAGTGTTTCAAAAACTCAACTCCAGGCTCCACTGGCTGCTCCACTTCAAGAAATCAGAAGAGCGTCGAGTGCAGACCACACACCACAAGTGACGACGGCCTCTACAAAATGTATGTTTTCTGCCAATGAAATGATTAGCCTGTTGCAGTTGTATTCTATCAGTTGTCACTAATTACAACTATCATTTACCAACTATCAGCTATCACTAGTTACAAGATTTACTTGGAGGCCGTCGTCATTTGTGGTGTGTTTTCTGCACTCGACGCTCTTCTGGTTTTCTGAAGCAGAGGGTAGATCTATACTTATTGCGGCGATGCTCTCAGTCACTGGGAAGTCGTGGGAGCAACCTTATGGTTAGCTTTCAGCGCGAATTTCCGTCCGCCTTGCACAAGCTCTCTTTATTTGTGAACAGAGCATCAGGGACTAATCAAATTGTTCATTTGTGAACAGAGTATCAGGGACTAATGAAATTACATATCATTGACATCTGCCACCATACTCACTACTTCCGAGTCCATAATTACTTTTCGCTCGGCGGTAAAAAAAACAGAGGGTTTTATTTACAAAAACTCCAGAGATCGTTGCCTTTGTCTTTTCTGAGACAATTTTGGAGGATTTAATTTTTATGTGAAATAATTCAGAACTGAAGGAATACTCGGGCTGAAGCCAATATCTCCTGGCTTTGACGGCCGTGTAGAATAAGCACAGTATGTGCCTTTAATGAATGAAAAAGGGGTAAAGGATTAAGCATCTGGCACTGATGACTCTTCTTTCGAACGCGCTACGCCATCTACTTCCATTTAGAGTCGTGCTAGCATTTGAATGGAGATGGAAGGCATGGCGCATCTCAAAATGTGATGTAACCTAAACGCCAAATCAGTTGGGGGGGGGGGGAGCCAGGAGCTCGGAGCTTATATCCTCCCACGGCGGTCTATTTCCTATATCAACCATCCGGCAAGTGAAACGGTCGCTTATCGTGTAAGACGTCCAAATGAGCAATGACTACCTTTACACAGAGTTCGAAAAATATTTGTACATTATAGTACTTACTTCATATATTTATAAAGTATTTACATCTTTATTTACTATATAAATTGTTTATTTATTATTACTTCTTTATTTATATTATGCTTACTTATGCTTACTTATATATTATTATTTTTTATAGGTCTGAGGGTGGTTTGGGTTTGGGGGTGGGTTGTAGTTGGGGGTCGGGCGGGGGTTTTTCTGAGGAAGCTGTTATATCGGCGAAGGTTCACCAATAAAGCTCAAAAAGAAAAAGTCCTCAATAACTACATACAAATGATTGAATAAAAAATGCACTTAATGTAAGGCATGTTTTATCAATTGCAGTCTTTAACAGAAGATTGTAGAACAAATGTCATCGCAATGTTTCTGCCCACCCCTCAATATAACAATGTTTTAGTTTGAATGCACTTAATGCCTTACCGTTGTTGATGTCGAAGTCGAAGGATGATTTTCGCATAGAAAAACGTTAGAAGTGAACATGGCAGTACAAAGGCAAATACGATCAAAAAACCAACAACCAGTAATTTCACATCACGTCGCATCCCGTCAACACACATGTATTTAACGACATTGAATTTCTCCTGAAATTGGCTATTTTTAGTTACGCATTTTGCACGCTATTTCATGAGAAAATGAATATGCTGAAATACTCATAAAAACGAAATGACAATCGGACGATGACAAGTGGCATGGCCAAACTCAACTTCGCTGTACGAAATAACCGAATGACTAAAACCTGTGAAGGCGTTAAAATTCTAAAACAACCCCAGAATCGTGACGTATAGTCTATTTTTTGACACTCACTTTCTCGTTAGAGGATAGGCAGCATGCAGCAATACTTACAAGACGAACCGACTGCACTAAAAGGCTCAGAGATGGCGCTTCTTGGCAGGTTATACGATAAAATGGGTGCCGAATAAGGGGAGAAGTATTCACTGCTAAAGGACGTCAGGCCCTTAGGAAGCGGAAAATGGCTCATGTCGCGGTAAAGGGTGCACCAGTAGTGACTCTCCAAGCAGGCCTGGCGAAGGCCGCCTGCCTGGCGAAAAGGCACTTTCAACTGGGAACGGCGGACTACGAATTGGGGTGATGTGGGTGGGTGAAACTCCAGTTCGGGGGGCCACTCCATTGCTATCTTATCCGTAGTACTAGAGAGCAGTTCTTTGGGCTATCGAACACTACGGATAAGATAATAAGTGAACGACTCATTTCGAGCGTACTTTTGATAAGGACCGGTGGATGTCCTACATTCCACACTACCTGCCCACATCCCATCCACTTTTCTGCACAGGTGATCCACCCTGGAGCTCCTGCACCCTTAGCCCTTTGCGGAGGTGTCCTTTCTCCTGGTCCAGGACCGTTCCCTTGGGTCATGGCAGGCGGAAATGTGAAAACGTTTCAGGGTTTCTCACCCATTACACCAATATTTATCAGAAGTCTACTTTAAATGAGTCGATTACGTGTCGTGAGCCCTCTAATCCTTATCTTGAGTATTGGAGAAAAAATGGAGTGCCCCCCCCCCGAACTGGAGTTTCACCGTTTTGGTTATCAACTTGGGGCGGGGTGAGGAATTACGTTTAAATGTAGTAAAGGGCAGTTGGAGTAGAAAGGAATGTGACCCGACTTGACTGTTTCAGTCACTCAACTGGCGATTGGTTCTATTCCCCACTCGAAAGAGCAGTTGCGGTTGATTTCGACAAACTATATTCTGTGAAGTGCTGTTTAGCTGCAGTCATAATAGCAACTACGTTCTCGGAGTATTTGTGACTTCTCTAAAGAGTGCACTACATCCACAATCTAGTGGGAGTTACGGAACAAAGCTCGCCCCGGACTTCAATAAACCCTTCGTGCTCCTGTCGAAAGCGTATTCGAAGTTTTAGGAGCTGTAATACGTGATTGAAGCAGCCATGTATGTATCTGTAGATTCCACTGTGCTTTACTTCTACAAATACTCTGCTGCCATATTTAAGTGGCAATTGCATCTTGAATTATGATATTGCTGTGGAATTTGGCCTTGAGACCTGGTGAGGACGAGTAACGGGGGCAGATTGTTCTGTCCTACCTACGAGCCGCTGCAAGGTAATCAGTATGCTATACGAAGTTATTACGTTGCCGGAATTCAGGCTTTTGATTTCTTTACCGCACGCGAGGTACATAAATTGTCACTGCAGTGAAGGGGAGCGAGGGCGCGAAGGGGACGTAAAAGTAACTATTTTCATTTGGGTTTGGGGGGGCGGGGCTTATGGCTCCAGGTCCAATAAGATCTCTGCATCTGTGCTAAAGTAGAATTTCATGTCGGTAGCAGAGCCCTTTCGATGTCGTTATTGGGTAACAACGTATATGAACTGAATTGTGGACCTACCTCGTTATTGTTTATATATTGTCCGAGACCTGTGAAAGACCGTACCGTTGCCGAAAGCACTACTGGCATAATGAGCGCGAACGACAACATAGCCAAAAATGTGGTTATGAATATTGTCTGTCGCATTTGGTGGACCTGAATCATCAAGACCATGATTTGTGACTGGTACTATAAAAGGTGGTTTGCTGGAATGAACAGTGATTAATTCGTGGGACAATCCGTACACCCCACATTCGACTTCTTCAATTCGGCGTCGTTGAGGGGTCTAAAGAGCATTAAGGCTATGCGGACGCGCAGGACCTTATTTTCAGATTACTGTCAACTTCATTATAATCTTTATTTCTGCATAACGTGCTGCTATGATAATTGATCAATGGAAGGTGGAATTGCTCACTCTTAGTGGTATGCCTGTCACTGACTACGCAGATTACAGCCTAATCTCTTATCACTGCTACACCTAAAGGTACAAGCCACGATCGAATTGGCGTGTTGAAAATTGGGCAGGAACTGTGAAGAGATACGCTACCGGTAAAACACCCAGTAAGCGCCAAAGAAACACTTACAACAATCTCCTGCGTTGATCGTGATACGAGGGAAGACACAGCCTACGAGATAACACAGAAAAGTGTGATGTACGCGAGAACACGCAGGCGCCACGTATGCAGCAACTGGTATAATAATGACTGCGATTAAAGGAAGTAACTTCGTATAATTTATATTAGCGCATTTGTGACGCACTTTCGAATGCGACAGTGCCGCAAACCTTGTGATCAATCACTCAAGAGAAAGAGGATTCCTCTAAATTAGGTGCCTTTTTAAAGCGAGAAATTACGATAAAATTTCTGTGCAGCATGGAAGAACGAGCAGCACTTCAAGCAGTAGCTAGAGCCCAAAGGAATCGAGATGTGGCCTTTTTGTGACTAAAGGTGCGCTCGTTGCAGCGCCCTGGGGCTGCCAATCCTTTTCTGAGCTCCGCCTCCGCTCCGCCCCTCAGCAGATCGCTGTTCGATTATCATTTTGATAAGGTATGCCACTTCGAGCGCGTATCCAATAACTTTCTCATGGAATGCTTTATCAATCAAGGTATGATCTCTGGTGGTATGATGGCAGCTATGGTTTAACGAGTGCCGACGACCTCTTAGTTGGTTGCCAACTCGTCCATTATCGGAGGTCAACGGGCAGAGGAAGTGGTCCCATTTTGCGCGTTTTTGACGGATTTCTTTGCTTTTTCGCTACTAGGGCATTATTCAGCATCTTCACTTCCACTATGAGCACAACAGAATCCTATCGCAATCTCTCGCTTTAAGTCCTCAAACTGCCACACTTCTCGAACTAGGTTTGACTCGTCGTTTATATAACATGCAGCAGTGGAAGAAACATATCGTGCTTGATGCGCCCGCGTTCATTTTTGATCGCTCATGATCACATCCTGTTCCTACTTGCATAAATTCTTCAAAATTACTGCATGAGGTCGATTAGTTTAATTATTCGCAAGGACTGGTGCTAATTCAGCTGGCTAACAAAAAAAAACGAAGCATTAATTTCTCTGTTGTGTATGCCTGTATCATCAATGAGTGGACAGTGCCTCTTCGATGCCGTTCCTACGCTATTACAGAGCACTGTGTTGCTGTTGTAGGCACGACTCGATCGGTTTTATAAAATATTATTTGATTCTAAATGCCTTTTCCGACCTTCCACCTCTACGGGAATCCGACACTCTGCACTGATGCTAAAGTAAGTACACTCATAGGTGTAGAACAAGTATCATGAAAATTATTCAATGAAAACAGGTAAGGAGAAAGAACTCACTCGTTTATACTCCGGATGACAGATGGCCATATATCGGTCAAATGCTAGCGCCGTTAGGATGAACGTCGAACACATCTAAATCAGGATGTATAGGACGTTTTGTGATGATGGTTGTTCGTTAGAAGAAAATATTATTCATAAAAAAACACATATAGTCTCGCTTGCATTCAGCGCGCATAAGTTAGAATAGTCTCGGCCTAAAGGCGAAAGCGAGTAAGAATTGTCGGGAAGTCCGCGGGGGAACCTAGGTAAGGCATTATCGAAATGTGGGAACTATCAAGGACAATTAGTGTCAGGTTGTGCAAAAAAACGCTTATACCTTGTTGGACAATTCGGACAGTGGCAGTAGTGAGCTTGCAGCCGTAAGGTTCACAATTATAGCCAGTTTATTGAGTTCGTGTTCGAGAACGAGAACGGTATGCGATATGCGTGACGGAGTGGCGGGGAGCAGACGAGTGGGCGAAGAACTGAGCGATTAGGACAAAGTATTGGCCGAGCAGGTTGGATGATTTTGAGGGGACAGGAAGGATGAGTTCGTCCAGGAGATTAAGTTAGTCTTGCTGTCGAAGATTGGTTTAAAGGCAAACCGGGAGTAGCGGTGGGGATGAGTGGAAGGATTGACGCTTGAGAGGAAAGAGTTGTGAAGCGAGAGCTGCATAATCGCGTTACTCGGCGCGGCGGGTTAGGGCGCTATCGGTACGGGCTCAACCATCACGCTTCCACCCACCGCGAGATGTGGGTGAGATCAGCGTGCATTGATGTAGAGATCAGCGTGCTCTCTCAAACGACGTTCTCTCTCGCGTGTTTTGACCTCTCTGATCGCCCTGTCTTGCCGTCGTACCACATCCGACCTTTTTGAAGGTTAAGGCCTTAAGTTCAGCGTTCCCAAAGAGTTCTCTCGCTTCCCTCTCCACTTTGGGGTCGCTCCGCAGCTAAGCTATCACTGCGAAGCGCTCTTAGCACCAGTTTAATTCCGGAGTTTGCCTTTAAAGTTAATCGCATCTTTTTGAGCTGTCCATATCGTCCTGTCCGGTACCCCACAAAGTTAGTTCTCAATCGTTCATCGTAACTAGCAAGAATAATACAAAAAAGTGACAAAAAACTGCTTGGAGCAATCTTTTCTTGGAATTGAACACTGCTAACAGGATCGCCTAGCTTTCAAACTCCGAACGCATTTAGCAGCAAGCGAACTTGAACCAGAATTTTCTTTACTGATGTTCCAGTTTCATGAGCTTCTGTGCTGCACACATATACTCGATAATGAATCCGCTGCATACAATCATAACCAAGCGTCGTCTTTATTTTATTACATGAGTTGATAAATTTCAATGAGCTCTTCGACACCCGTTTGTTGGACTCCGAGAGAGATGAGCGATTTTGATGATGTTGTTAAACGCCACTGGTTGAAGGGGTTACAAGCTTTTCTCAGTTCACTGCGTCACGCTGAGGGGGTGCTGGTCTTCTAAACGCGCTCAAATGAGTCTCGAAACTTCACGCGCCCACATCATCGTTACACTGCTTCAAATTTTCCTGTTGTGTGCTGTTTCATAGAGTCATAAGGGACGAAGTGTGTTATGATTGTGCTAGATTGTGAGTATGCCATGGAGTCGGTTTTTTAGTCACGCAAAAAGTTTGTTTGCTCTAAAATCAGGTTTGGTTTGGCGAGCCGTGACACTTAAGAATGTTTGTGACACTCAAAGAAAAATTTTTCTGCTTTAGAAAATGTTTTTGTTTCTATTTTCCCACAGTTATTATTAACTTGGCTAAATTTCAGGTTCGCGAACCAAGAAGGCTAGTCCACGAAAACGAACAAAACCGAGAACTGACTCGGACTCTATTTCTCTACGCGAAATCTGTAGATCGATGATGTGGTGCTCCGGAATTCAGCATGACTCTTTTTAAATTCCAATATTAAGTTCAGGGCAAAGAAAATTTGGCTGTGTTCCTTATTCGGGTTTGGTTTGTTCTTGGTCGCCTCCTGCTTTTACGAAATTGAAATTCTTCTTTCAAAAAATTTCCCTCAGAGATGACGAATCAACTTCAGTAGAATACTTTTAGACATATTTCATGACTTTTTGTAAACATTCTTCAGTTTCTGACGTGCTCAGCGGTAAAAGGTTCGGGGTCTTTGATTTCGGAGGTTTAGTTGTTGCCATGATGATTTCCTGATGGGCACATAGTTGAAAGCTTCTTTGCCGGTTTGGGCTAATTTTCGTAGACCGGTTCGCAGGCTTGGAATTTAAGAAGTTTGCAATAAATATAGAAAAGTGGAAAATCTTGTACAGCAGAAATTCTCCTTGAACTGCATGTAGAAACATGGGGATTGGAAGGAGAAATTTTTGTTTGGATGAAAGCGACATTACTTATTGGACAACCTAATATTTTGCTCCCTACCGCGTGGGTCAAGGCGGTCAGAAAGTATGGATGAAAAATGCTTAAAAGTCACTAAGAAAGATCCGTGGACACTGTTCAGCCCGTTTGTTTATTTCGCTCGTGCAGTATTCCTCAAAAAAGAGAATCACGCAATGTCTCATGTCATGGAATTAGTATTTTCAGTGATTTTTGACAACATTTTTATGTTATATCGACTCGCTTGTAAGGCGAAGATCAACTTCCACCGAGTGGATAATATGTATGTTGTAAATCTCGCAAAATAGGCGAAATTTCAAAGAAGCTGTTCAGTTTTTGTGTGATTCCTTTATGTTCCCTTTTGTTAGTTTTTGTTAGACCGTTATGAAGGTAACGTTGCCGTTTTTTTGTAATAGGGTATAGTTCATGCCATTTCTGTTGAAATGGCAAAATAGACGAATTTCCTGCTCGGAAAATGTGAAAAATGGTAAAAGGATTTTCGGACCTCCGTTCTAGATTTCCTACTATTAGTACGTTGGTAGACGGGTAAATCAGAAAATCAGCAAAATATTAGGTTGTCTCATAAGTAGTGTCGCTTTTTTTGAACCAAAAAAATTTCACTGAATCCTGATGCTTTTACATCGTGTTATATACCATTCGAAAGAGAATTATCTGCTCTACAAGATGTTATGTTTCCCTTTTACCTATGTTCCACAGTTTTGAATTTTTAGGCCTGCGAAATGGGAGGTCCAGCCGACAAAAATTGACCAAACCGACAACTATCTCTAACTTTATCTTCCCTTGGGAGAAATCAATAAATGATGTACCCTCTACTTACACATGACCTCTTCTAACATTTACACTATTAGGTTTCCCAAAGTCGCGTCGTTCCATTTCCAGACCTGGTTTTTCAACCAGAACTCGACGGTCGAGCACCATTACCTGAGATCTAGGTCGAAATTTTTTTATAGCCGAGACATTGAAAAACTAGTAGAATTTGAAGAACAAGTCATGACTAAGTTAGGAATGTACGCCTGGTTGATTTTCTCATCTTCTCAGGGATAATTTTTTCAAAGAAATGCGGTCACTTTCGTGGATAAAACACCTTATTCCTAAACACCTAAAATTCGAACTAATTCCCAACAAACATAAGAAAACAAAAATCAGGGATGAGAGCAGAAGAAGTGCTCAAAAGGAACACCACTCGATATGAAACAATGGCGTTTACGAGGAACAATTTTAATTTGAAAATTGCTATGGCTTATCGGTCAGCCAATTCGAAAAGAAACACGGCAAAGCTTTTTCGGCAACCTAAGAGTGGAATGTTCAGAAGAGGTCATGAGTAAGTAGAGGGTACATCATTGATTGATTTCTCCCCAGGGAAAAAAGTTAGAGCTAGTTGTCGGTTTGGTCAATTTTTGTCGGCTGGACCTCCCATTTCGCAGACCTAAAATTTGAAAACCCTGGAACAGAGGTGGAAGAGGAACATAGCATCTTGTAGAGCAGACGATTCTCTTTCGAATGGTATATAATATGGTGTGAAAGCCTAAGGATTTACGAGAAAACTTTTTGTTTGAAAAAAAGCGACACTACTTATGAGACAACCTAATAGGTTCAATCAAGCCATGTGTAAGGCAAAAATCATCAGTGCTTGCATCTCTTTTTTCTAACGAGTCATGTATTTAATGCAGCAGAAATGGGCAAGAATATCAGGTCGGACACTAAGTTCGATTGACAAAGAAGAAATTAACTATCTTTCAAAAAAGAGCTGTTCGACAATGGGCGTAAGAATGAGGTGAAAATAATATCTGGAAGAGATGCAGATTACCTGGTAATGAAGAAAACGTATGCCAATACAGCTGTATTTCCTAGTGTTCCAACAACAAACAGTACGGAATATGGTATTGCGGTCTGTGCGAACGGTTTACCGATAAGTGGTGGAGGAGGATATTCACCGGCAACCGGTGCACGGTTAACATCTGAAATATGAGTTTGAAAAATCAAAATGAAATTGGCCAATACAGAGGAACAGAAGGAGAGAGGACGTATGCTCAGCCAAAATAGATTATTGGCTCAATCTCTCGTTATAATGATAAACAGACAGATAATGATGGTTACGCGAGAAAATGTGATGTAGAGGATGTAGGTTTTCTTCTCAGAAAGACTGCTTTTATTGTCACTTCGTAGGGCATACTTTTTGAGCGCCTTGCAATTGTCTGCTGATTTATGGTGCATTCGAGGTCGAGGAGACAGAATCGCAATCGTATCTTTAGCCTTGTTGCGACGACGATTCTCTAATCGTGTAGGGCACTGAGTTGACGAGTCCCAGTAACGGCGAGTCCATGATAGAAGTGCTTGGCTAGTCTAATTTTACGATTTTAGAGCCGTCCCGATTCCTTCCTTCTTTTCCACACAATAACTTACTCTCATTTCGTCTTTCTTATTCGCAATGTGTAGTTGAGGGACGTGCATAGGAAGGACTGCTTGCTACAGTAACTCGAAATCGGGGGGAAGAAAACGGTATTTAGAAAGAGACAAAGTTTAAAGGAGAGAAAGAATTCGGCTTGGTGACAAATACCCAAAATCGGTCAAGGCGCTCACTTCGTTGCTCTCAAAGGAACCATGATATGATTGGGGCTACATCTAGTGTGCAAGGGAAGAATTTAGAGTCCGGGAATGCGCTCGCACATTCCCATATTATCGTTTCAGAGCACCCACCGGCTAGG